ACACCTTAGATCATTAGGCATTAGATCCCAGAGTTTGGGGGCCTCTGGTTTGGACAGTGTCAGTATTTTTTACTGTATTGAGACATGATTACATAGTAGTCACATTTCTGTTGCTATCCATCATGATCATGGAGTGGCCTTGTCTGATGTTGGCACTGTGAGCAGTTCATCATATTTAACACGAGAACATGACAGACGAGCTGCAGGCACTGCTACAGTCTCCAGCATCTCCAAGCCCTAATGGTAGTGCCAAGCTAGCTCCTGGGTCTCAGTGGCTGCTCTCTTCTTTCTCAAATGAATATAAACAAAGGCAAAAAAGATACTAGCTATGTTTTAATAAGTTCCCTTTGGCAGAAGTGATGTGAAAACCTCTAAAGGAATACAACACTAGTGGCTGTGAAGGCAGCTAGGGATTGTCATCTTAAACCCAAGTGAGCTATGATGCTAGCTTTAATCAGGGTTCTGGTGATGGGAATAGAGAGGATTGAACAGTTTTAAGAATTGTTAAGGGAATGAGATTAATTGAACTTGTCAAAGGGTAGACTTGTGAATGGTAGGAAAAAAAAAATCTAGATGACCCAGTTAACTTTCGGGTATCTGGGTGATGCTGCTGGAAAAGGAACAGTAAAAAGAAAGAATAAAACAGGACTGGGGAGATTGAAGTTTAAGTTTTCAGGCAGTATTAAATGTGTCTATTAGGCAATGAGATACACTGGACTGGGCTTTAGGGAAAAGATATAAGCTAAAGACCCACATTTGGGGATTGTGAGAAAATAGATGCTTTTTGAATGGGAAGTAACGAGGATAATCTAGAGTGAAAAACAAGGGAAGAACTGTGGAGCATTTCAGTATTAAAGGAAAAACAAAATGAAACAAATGGGCAAAAACATAAAAAAGTAAATAGTAGTGAATAGTATCCCAAAATCCAAAGGAGGAAATACTTTCATGAAGGACTAAGAGGTTAATGGAGTCTAGTCCCGCAGAGAAGTGAAGGGGAAAAAAAAAACACATGTATATGTTTATAGGAGAGGAAGATTTTCTCAAAGATGGAAAAGCAGCCTGTTTAAAGGCTGATTCTTTATCATCAGAAAATAGGGAGAGATTGAAAAAATGAAGGTGGGGTTAAATGAAAACAGAATCCTGAGGACACAGACAGTAAAGATATTGAACAACACCCCTGCCCTGGGACTAGCCCTAAGGCATCAAAGCAGTCTCTTCCACTGAAGCAGAGGAAAAGAAAGAGACCATGAACACAAATACATGAAATATAAGAGATACTATCTTAACTAAGAGGAGAATTCACCTACTGTAAATGGTGGGGGAAAATTTAAGAGACCCATTAAAATTTGAAGTAATTATGGAGAGAAGTTGAGAAATGTACTAGGAAAGTATGGAAAGCTTAGGAAGAAGTACTGATGAGCCTCTTAAAGTATGGCAGTTTAGAAATGGAATCATGAAGTGTCTAAGGTATTGTTAATTCAAGTGGGTAAGTGAATTGAGGAGATGAGAGAATTGGAAGCTTTTGGAGACAGCAAGACAGCCCAAATGAACTGAGATTTTTAAGGGATTAAGGCACAATTTGGGTGGAGGAGATTGAAGACTTTGGCATCAGGTTCACAATGAGAAAACAATAGAATGAACTGGTGAATGACAGATGGCCACTTGACATGAAACACAAGGGAAGAGAGAGTTTTACATAAGAGTGATATCTTTGGAATTGACCCTGAGAACTGAGTAGACTAGCGATTGCAAAGGAGTGGGGGAGTGAGTCATTAGTCTTGGTGGTGATCCAAGGGTGAAAGTCTTTTCTGTGTACGAATGGAATGGGTCTACAGGACAGAAAGTTTGTTTTAGACGAAGGGTTTCTGAGCGTAAAGTGAATGAGTGTGAGAAACCACACAGAAGAGGAAGTGAGGCAGAGGAAAGAGTACAGAAGGGCACAGTGATGAGGATATAAGAAAGGACAGGTAAAGAGAGGTTCCTATATTCTTAGTGGCAAACACAAATAACCGAGATCATGGAAACAAATTAATTGGCTTGAAGATTTCCAACAGAACTTGGGGAAAAGCTGATTTGGTAAGGGTGTAAGCAAGTCTAGGTTCCAGGAAGAGCCCAAGGCCTGTTGACCTGGACAGCTAGGAAGAAGGCTTTTCAGGAGAACATTGGAGAGGTATAAAATCACCTTATGGTCAGAAGAGGTTTGTTTTGGGCTTCTCTGGTGGCTCAGTGGTAGAGAATCCTCCTGCCAATGCAGGAGACATGGGTTCGATCCCTGGTCTGGGAAGATTCCCACATGGGGTGGAGCAATTAAGCCCATGCACCACAACTACTGAGTCTGCGCTGCAGAGCCAGGGGACCACAGCTACTGAAGCCCCACATGCCCAGAGCCCATGCTATGCAGCCGGAGAAGCCACCACCACGAGAAGCCCGCGGGGGGCAATCAGAGAGGAGTCCCCACTCGCCACAACTAGAAAAAAGTCTGCACAGCAATGAAGACACAGCACAGCCAAACATAAATAAATAAAATAAAATAAGAAAAGAGAGAGGTTGTTCTGCTGTAACTCCTAACTTACATTACCATGTGCTCAGTTCAAGATGTTGAGTAGCTCTATACCTGTAAAATCAGCTGGAAAGTCTGAACTGTGGCAACATTAACAGAATGAGTGAAGGAACATCTAGGAGTCCAGCAAAGTCTCAGAGGGTGCACTGATCTTAAACTTTTACGGACATAGAAGCCACCTGTGGATCTTTTCTAAATGCAAGTTGATTTATCAAGCCTGAAAACAATCCTATAGTTCTAAGCTCACAGGTGATGCCAATACTGGTTGTCCAGGGTCCACACTGTCAGTAGAAAAGCCCCCAGAACTCAACTCTTAAATAAATGTATTATGTTCATTATATGGATAAAACACATGGTTAATAGAGAAGGAACATTTCTGTCAGATTTTAAAATATATAAAATTGTAGGGGTGATGTCCTAGGATATTCTAACTGGGTGAAAGTGCCTGATTGCTTCAGTCATTTATTACTTCAAGTGAAAGATGAAAAAAGAGGGAGTGATATTCAGCCATTTTTAATGGATGCCTAAAAATGAATTAATACCACTCAAGCTCATGAGACAGGCCTCCCATGTGTTCAAAATAACCTACATAAATGGACAGGTGAAGAAGCAAGAAAATTAATGTATGCATAAACTGCATATCCATCATCATTGCTATGTATTTCTCTCAAGGATTTTTTAATACGTATACATTATATTTAGCCTGAAGGAAATGTCTAGGTAAATCATTCCATGTCCTATTTTAGTAGGCAATTAAGTATGATGTTGTTATTTCAGAATATGAGAGGAGAAGTTGATAAAGGTGACTCACCAGGCATCAGAAAACCACTCATACAATATTGTATATATATATTTTAGCACTTTCAGTCTCTCATTGCTGACACTATTGATTAAATGTAAATTGCTTCTAGGCAACCATATGATAACAGGAAACTTTTGAATTTACTGTCTTAAAATGCTAGAGCTCAATCTTCCTGCTTGATCAAAGTTATTTTAAGATATAGAAATAGGATGGTATATAGATAAGTAGATTGCTCAGATAGATAAAAATTTTAATTAGCTAATAACATGTCTATCCAAGGTGATTCATACTTTCAGTGGATCAATATGTCACATGAACTCCAAAACATAGAGTGCATCTTCTCTAAGTAATTTTCTACTTGTAGAATTTCCTTCAAAAAACTATAACAAAGAATATACCTTCAAACAAGTGTATTCAAATAAGACATTTTTCTATTTTCTACTACACACATTATCCTTCATTTTAATTTTAAAACTAAATTATTAACAATACAATCATAACTCCCTTTTCTTGAAACTGTTTACAAATAGTCCATTATTAAACTGATAACAGAATATATCAAAGCCAACAATAAATTTAAAATAACATTCCCATTTATAAAGTCAGCTCTCAGAAACATTAATGAAATTATTTCTCCCTCTAAAGTAGCCTTAAAAATAAAGGATTATTTTCTCCTAAAAGACATTTTTTTTGTTCTCCAAAAGTTCCAACCCCACAGCAAGTATTACCTTGTATCTATATTAGTGTTGTATTTGTAAAAATCTGACAGGTTTTATAATTCATGAAATCAAATGATTGAAAGATAAAGCAGAGTTAATCCACATACGAGATCCTCCTATAACTAAAATTATTTAACATTCAGGATACCTGTTTCTTTAGCCTTCCCACTGAAAATATTTACTCTTCCTGTTAGAAATTCCCTCACAAACTATTGCAAATTACCTACCAAAATGGATGTTCACATGTCAAAGTCGAAATATCAAAGCCTTGATAATGTCCCTGAAGATGAATACAGCTCTTATTAAATTAATAAAAACTGCATTGTAAAGGACAAAACTATAATGTCTCAGTAGGGAATAAAAATAGCAAATGATCTCTTATAAATAAATATTGAAAAAGGTTGGGTATCTTTTAGTTATGGTAATATAATAATAAAATCTGGAAAAAATACAAGTATGTTATGATTTACAATAATTATTAATGACTACAAAGTATAATGTTTTGATGATAGTGAGAGTACAAAGAGAGTCTATAGTATTTCTAAGGATCAGGTCTTTTCTTTTCCATTCTATTCTGCAAGCCTACTAAAATCCCAGCCTTCAGATGAAAGAACAATGTATGAAGGGAAATCAATATGACTTTATGCTACAAAATTGCTAATTTACAGCTAAATAATATAAAAGTTAAAGAAGGTTTATGAAAAGTATTCCTGGGCAGTCACAGCAGAATCAGGAAAGACTTCTCCAGGCTAAACTTTGATTCTATTTGATATGCAAAACATATTTTAAAGATATATTTAAAAGCATTATAGCATACCATGTTAATCTTTTCAACTCTAAGAGAATCACAGAGTTCAGAGCACAGGGTTTACAAGCAGCAAAAGTTAGAAAAATACATAAAAATTAACTCATAACCTACATTGACTTTTTCTTTAAGATCTGAGAAGTTGCCTTCCTTCCGATAGATTGCAAATTCAGGACTCTGCAACACGGCCTCTGCACGAGTAATCCAACTGTGAAGTTCAGTTATATCGACATCCAACCTAAGACAGGGAAGAATAAGGATCATTATTTCTTGATTATCTCTTTCTTCTGTATGGAAAAAAAAAAGGCAATCTATCCACATTTACCATTCTTCTCCCAATCTGAAACTTCTGCCTGATGCCCCTATTAATGTTAATATCACTACTATTTCCCTAGTCAGGTTGGCTCAAAATTTGGAGTCTTCTTTGATCTGGTCTTATGATCACAGAGGTAATCTTATTCATCTCAATGTAGCAACGATCTGTACACTGTCTCCTATAAGCTACTCTTCAGCCTTTGCTTGAATGTCTGCACTGATTGAAAAATCAGTATTTTCCAAGATAAATCATTTTTTGGGAAGGTATTCACAACAAGCAAACAAAGATTCCTGTTGGTAGCCCCCATTAAACCGCACCTGGAATACTCATGTCCTTCATGTCGTCTCCACAGCCATACTGAGGCTGCATTTGGTCACGTGACTGTCTATGGCAAATGAGCTATTGGTATGTGTAATGCAAGCACAGGTTTGGTTAGTGCTTGAACCTTGGATCTTGTCTTCATGGAACACACACTCTGAGAAGGCATGTGTTATATAAGAATTTCAAGGATCCTAAAGGCTCCAAAATCACTGCAGATGGTGATTGCAGCCATGAAACTAAAAGACGCTTACTCCTCAGAAGGAAAGTTATGACCAACCTAGATAGCATATTGAAAAGCAGAGACATTACTTTACCAACAGAGGTCCATCTGGTCAAGGCTATGGTTTTTCCAGTGGTCATGTATGGATGTGAGAGTTGGACTGTGAAGAAAGCTGAGCACCGAAGAATTGATGCTTTTGAACTGTGGTGTTGGAGAAGACTCTTGAGAGTCCCTTGGACTGCAAGGAAATTCAACCAGTCCATCCTAAAGGAGATCAGTCCTGGGTGTTCATTGGAAGGACTGATGCTGAAGCTGAAAGTCCAATACTTTGGCCACCTCATCTGAAGAGTTGACTCATTGGAAAAGACCCTGATGCTGGGAGGGATTGGGGGCAGGAGAAGGGGACGACAGAGGATGAGATGGCTGGATGGCATCTCCGACTGATGGACATGAGTTTGAGTAAGTTCCTGGAGTTGGTGATGGACAGGGAGGCCTGGCATGCTGTGATTCATGGGGTCGCAAAGAGTTGGACAAGACTGAGCGACTGAACTGAACTGAACTGAAAGTGATTGAAGGAAGCTCACTCTTGCCAGGCAGAGAGACCACGGAAAAAGCAAGTGGTATGGAAATGGCAACCAACTCCAGTATTCTTGTCTGAAAAAAGCCCCATGGACAGAGGAACCTGGCAAGCTCCAGTCCATGAGGTTGTGCAGAGTCAGACGTGACTGAGCAGGAGTACCAGGAGAGTGAATAAAGCCTCCTTTGACCTTCTGACCCAACTCAAACACCAGCTGAATACATCTAAGTAAATGCTCCAGCTGACTTCACTTAGAGCTACAGAACTGCCCACGTTGCAGGATTGTGAGATATGATAAATAACTGTTGTTTCAAGCCATTACATTTTGAGGTGGGTTGTTATGCTGCAAGAGATATGTGATCACCTACACTGTTATCCTCAAACACTTTTTTTCCAGAGATCTATGGAGCTAATGGAAATAAACTATTAACTCTGATTAGGTGATTCAGATCCAGTTAAAGCAGAGATTTTCAGGGAGTCACAGATGAGTTGCAAGGGTGAAGAATGTCTAGGAATCACTTGAAATTTCAGGCACAATTCTGAAGGCATGTGCAATTTTCTTGAGAAAGAATCTATAGATTTTATCACCATCTGTAAAGAATCTATGATAAAGGGAATTTAGAAACCATCTAATCCAATCGATTATAAAACAAAATAGACAAAAGTATCCAGGAAAATAAACTTATTCAATTTTCACATGATATGTGTGGAGTATACCAAAAATACAAATACAAGATGCCAAGTAATATACTGTATTCACCATGCTATAGTTTTTTTTCTCCAATACAACCCTCAAACAGTTGGAATCAGCTGTTTAAATCTTCTAGAATAGTGGCCCTAACATTTTGGGTGCCAGGGACTGGTTTCATGGAACACAGTTTTTTCTAGGGACTGGGGGTGGGGGTGGAGATGGCTTCTGGATGACTCAAGTGCATTACATATATTGTGTTCTTTCTTTTTTTTCTTTATTTCTATTATTGTTGCATCAGCTCCACCTCAGATCATCAGACATTAGGTCAGGCAGGTTGCGGACCCCTGCAATAGAAGATATCTGATGGTCAGCCTACCCTACTCCTAGTTACTTTGATGATATTCCTTGGTTTGTGAGTATCTTACTTTCCTTAAAATTTGATTCCTAGCAAAATCATATGAGGGGTGTTCACTATAATCAGGAAAGAATAGACAAGTATCTTCTCTCTTTATGAATACTTTCATAGATGTAGCCTTTAAATCAAATAAACCTGTGAAGAATTTTTTATGTTGGTTGCAGTCTATTGTTTTAAAACTAAACTGATAAAAAGTTTCACAGAACACAAAACATTTCCTAAAGCATGGCCTCCTTTGCTTTCTTACAAGCCTGTGCTAAATAAAGTATGATCCATCTCTTTGCTGTATGAGGAGATGGAGGCTCAGATAAATTAATTGATCTCAGATTGTTACTACCATAGGGAAGAAACTTAATTCATCTTGTTCACCATTATATCCTTCACCTCAAAGAGGGCCTGATTCATAGTAATAAGTATTTACTGAGTTTCTTATTTACCAAGTCTACCCAACTAGAATTAGAAAAAAAAAAAAGAGATCAGAATTCAGAGATTTTTTTATTCTAAATCTCACATCACTGAATGTCAATCCTTTATTTCATTTGGATATGAATCATACATAGTACTAGTGTTTCATTTTATCATACATGGTGGCTATCTTTCCTATATTTGATTTTTGCAGAAGTTTAACTATTAGGTCTCGTATTTCTTCATTTGCAATGTTGATTTAAAAAGAGTCCTTCTGCATGCTGCCAAAAATCTTTCTAATTGATGTTAATTAATTTATAAAAGTAATAGCTTTCAACTATGGCCATTTAGTCACCCCACAAATCCAGCGCATGTTTCCCATGTCTTAAGAAGGACTTTTTTTTTTCCTTTAGCCCAGGATAAACCTTTGTCTGTCTCTGCCTGTGGGCATGCACTTTGCCAGTATATAAGGCAGTCCAGGAGTACTGGGATGTTAATAGCTTAGTTATGTGAGAGTCGGGGATAGTTGGTAGATAAATAATGCAGCTCCCTTGCCCTTCAGTGCAACCACCCTGAAGGATATTACACGCAGTATCTCAAAAGGTTCCCAGCTGGATTGAGTGCAGTTGCCTCCATCGATAATCTGCTCATGTATCATCCTGTGTTGGCTGCCTTTTCCTTATCTCACTTCCTCACTTTGCTTCCTGGGATTACTTCCTAAATTAATTACCTGCATCAAAATCTTTCGTCTCCAGATCTACTCTTGTGGAAAACCATACTAAGTCAATGATCAACAACCTCAAATGAACCCCGCCCGCATCCTGCCATGTTTAATTTTTTCACCTTGAGCTCTGACTCTCCACAGGAACTATTTTAAACTTTTCCCAAAGCTCTCAAAGCTCTGATCTGTCTTCTTTCTCCACCTATCAACAGATGACATCTATTCCTACTTGATGGAGAAAAGCACAATTATCAGATTACAATTTCTTCCACTTCCACTTCCACTTCCTATGTCCAAATAGTCAATCTTACCTGCCCGTGCCCTTCTCACTACTTTCCGTTACAATGAGTGAGTTTCTCTTCTTTTACTTAAACATTATTGGTGGAAGACATATTAATATGCTTTTGTTACCCAAATGTTATTGACTGGAGATGTGTCAATACATTTTTAGAGAGTGATACAATTAATATCACCTTGTGAAGTTCTTAGAGCTTAAAATTGATCAAGGGTTCATTATACAACTTATGATTGTTCTTATTATTCACATTTTTCTCTGTTAGGTTTTTGTTCTAACTTGTGTATATTATAAATGTAAAATTTTCAAAAATGATGCATCACAAAATTTTAAGTGAAAAATAATTTTTCAGCGAATTTTATGCAGATATTTTCTGATTCTCCAAGTGACATATATACTAGTGTCTCAGAAGATGACAGTTCTTCAGTATACAGTTCTGATTCAGACAATGTGAATATTAGACCAACAACAAAAAATGCTAGTGATTGATTCTGATACATAAAGTGAAAATTAAACTCACAGTGCTAGAGAATGCTCTGCAGAAAAGTGGATTGAAGACAACATTTTACAAAGATCAAAAGACTTTACAGATGTGTCAGGTGTAACTATTGAATGTAATAACCCACAAAGTATTAGTGAAATAACAGAATTAGTTTTTGGCCAGCCAAAATAAAAATCACCAGCCACAGGCATTACTTTCTGCAAAAATCTCCTAGTCAATAATGAGTTAAAGCCAATCCCTTTGCCTGCATTTGGTACTTCATCCTCTTACTTCTTCTCAGGTATCTGAGTGTATCAGTTGTTTTTTTTTTTTAATCTATCCACTGTAAATTCAATACCTCTCTCTCAAGTTAATTCTTCATATGGAAATTTAAACATATTTTATTTGATCCCTTTATTAAAAATCAACACTCTCTTGACCTCCAAATTCCTCTCTTGCCATTCTCTTATCTTCTACAAAGGCAAATGTTTTGCAAGAGTTGTCCAGTTTCCTGTCAGTTCAGAGGAGCCTGGCGGGCTATAGTCATGGGGTCGCAAAAGAGTTGGATATGACTGAGCAACTAAACAAGAGCAATAAGATATATCTATGAATCTGATACAGATATCTCTACTTCAAGCTTTTCTTCTGAGCTCCATAGTTACATAATCATCCTCTAACTCGATGACTCCACTTGCATGCCGTAAGAACTCTTTCAATATATAATGTCAAGACTTAATGTTTGAATTTCTCTCCCAAACTGGTACCTTCTCAGTGTCCCTCAGACCTGTGAATGGCA